AAATAAACCACTAAATACATAATGTCTGATGAGGATTTCATGTTGTTTGTTTTTAAGTAAAAAGATTTTAAGAGAAACACAAACAGTTAATAACAATAATACAATATTGACCCTCATGGGGAAACTCTTCTCTACGTTTGACCCCTCTCCGGGGACAAGTGGGCAGAAGTACAGCTTTCAGGACCTCGCCCAAGGGTGCTTGGTCACATGACCTCCCAGAGTTTGAACCGCCACAGCCGTCCCACACGTGTCTGAAAATAATTTGGCTGAAAAGTGAATTTTTAAATTAAAAAACAGGAACAACTTTAACAAATAACTTTAGAGATTATTAGAATCACATTTCCTTTTAGTAATTTTCTAGCTTAAGCTAGCTAAATGCTAATATTGCAGCGATCTGTGTTTATCATTAACAGGCAGATGGTTACATGAAAGGATTATGGGTAACTTCCTTCCTTCTACACACGAGTAGACGCTAAACCGCAGAATCTACCCTAATTTAAGCTCACGTGTTTGTTCCCACTCTGTGCACCAAAACATATGTGATAAAATGTGATAATCACTGAAAAATAAACAGACATGTCTGAACTGTAAAGACAACAGCCACCTCCAATATGAACTTCATCTTGGTAAAACAAAGTCCCTGTGCAGTTTTAGCGATGGGATCCCTGACACCAGAAAATGAGGCCTGGGCGTCATGACCTGAACTTTGCCTCGTTGGTTAACTGGCTCTCCCAGTGGGACCCGTCTATTTGTTGGTGCAGCAGTATATTTATCAACTCCCCGTGCTTCTCAGTGGCACTGATATCCTGAGGATGTGGAGTCCGAGGCATGAATAGATGGCCGTATGGACAGATTGTTTATTTGTCAGCAGCTGAAGGTCACGGCGTGGCAGGATACGCTGGCATGACTCGATGTTCCCAGAGATGGAACGACCTGCTTCTTTATAGACGAGACCCCTTGACACGTTTCATTAGACGTGTTTGATTTGGTGGACTTTATGTTCTGAGTGGGTGGTTTCAGTCATCAGGAACTCGCTGCCAAGGCCGGATTATGATATGGGCAAACTGGGCTCAGGCCAAGGGGCCCACAGCCACAAGGGGGCCCACGCAAGCAGCAGTCTTTTTTTGTGCAGCAGTCTTAACGTTGGGGAAAAATGTTGACAAGTAATTAAAATTGCACCCACGTTTTCTAAGTTAACACACATTTCTTTTAACAACGGTAGTTTTTGCATCTTTACTGCCTGCTTCAGCTCTCTCCCCCTCCCCCTGCCCAGCGGCCGCAAACTCACTGATGCGTCTGCAGCTTCTCAGAGTTCCTGCTGATCTAAACATTGAAAGAATCACTTCATTTTCTGTTCCTCACTTCTGATTACCTTCAGTGGTGTGTGTTTGTTGCAACCACCAGGTACACCAGGTACAAAACGAACTTGTTTTTATTTGACTGAATGTTTCTGTTTATTATCTTCCTGCATCTCCTCTCAGTCCTAAAGAAAAACTGCTACATGGCTTCATATATATTCATCTTATGAGTTACCTTTGAACTGCAGTTAAAAATATCTACCGACCGCAAATATAGCGGAGTGCGCATCGCTCGCCCGCCACACCGATGAGGTGAATTCACCGGAGGATGAAACAGGTTATGCGCTCCGCTCCGCAGCAGTAAAACACATCAGGCACAAATAAAAGACAGAAAACATAAAAGGACATGAGCCGACATAAACGATCGCGTGTTAAATTTGTTTTTGAGGTGGCGACACTTTGAGAAGGTTACTGTGGCCGTGCTCAGGACGCATCAACAATCAGAGCTCTACGCCTCTCAGCTCTAAATAATCCCCGGAGCACTTCTTATATGTACCTCTCACCGTTCATAAGGGTATCGCACCATCAGCTACATCAGCCCAGACAAGAGCAGAGAAAATAGAGAAAGAATAGAGGATAATTCTGTCTGGAGGTGGATGGAGATTACATTTTACAGCAGCCTGATCATCATTTAAATACATAAACCATCACCTGTCTTCTAGTCCACGCTATCAGCATTATTTTAATTGGTGTGTGTGTGTGTGTGTGTGTGTGTGTGTGTGTGTGTGTGTGTGTGTGTTGTGTGTGTGTGTGTGTGTGTGTGTGTGTGTGTGTGTGTGTGTGTGTGTGTGTGAGAGAGAGAGAGTGTGTGTTTGTGTGTGTGTGTGTTTTCCACTTCAAACACTGGTCTAACCAACCAGACCAGCGTGTCCAGTAACATATTCATGTTACAATTAAACAGTTTCACTTCATGTAGGCTAGGAACATTTCACCTGCCGTGGCCCGACCGCTTCTGCTCCACATAAACTTTGTGCGTAATCAAATGTCTCTACAGGTGCTTTCTGAGCTGAAGAGGCTATTCTGTCTCAGACAGACTGGATGCGTCATGCGTCTCCATATTAGAGACGGGAACAAGCGCTATTCAGCCTAAGTTTCATAATCAGAGAACTTTTTTCCAAGTGACACATCCCTCAGAAAGACCGGGTTTCCAGACCGCTTCAGTGGGAGGAAATTTTACCGCATGCGCAGTGGTTCTGTGCTGCGCTGCAAACCCCTCTACAAATCTTCAGCCCACTGTCCACCGTGTGCGCTGCGAGCTGCGCTGAGCACAGTGTCCAGTATAAAGCTCTGATGTTCTGATAGGAATCTTTTCTTGATTGATTTCGTTACCTCCACGATGTGCGTAACGATTTAAATGTCAGCTCATCTGTGTGCGCATCAGTGTGCGTCGGGGTAATTCTTTCATAACAACCAGCATCCTTAAGTTTATCCATCAAAATAAACAGTCAAATGGAAATATCTCTAACCCTGCCATTTAACTGTTTTGCCTTCTTGTGAAGATTGTTGCAAAGAGAAACAATTAAACTTGATTAACCCAAGAACCATGCGCACTGCGCTGTACTCCGTGACTGTAAATGAGGGGAAAAACGACTTAATTGTATCCTTTTCTTACGTTTTCAACATGGTTTAATGTAAAGTTTCATTCAGTACAAACTTTAGTCGCACCAATCTAACGAGACAGAGCCTGGATTTGTATTCTGAACAGTTTAAACATGTTTAAAATGGAGACATGCGCGACACGTCTAAAGTTTGCACCTGCTCCGTTATTATGGAAATTAAACTAACAAGATGAATAACATAATTATTTTAGGCACAGACAACATCCCCCACACTTTTGAAAAGCTTGCAACACACCTGCTACCTGTTACAGATTGAGAAGGAGAACGATTTTCAAAAATGGCAAGAATAAAAAATGAACTGAGAACAACACAAACTCAACAGTGCCTCAGTGCACTGTCACTGATGGTTGTTGAATCTCAGCTTGTCAGGAATGTGGACTTTGATGACATTGTAAATGAATTTACTAACAGAAAGGCCAGAAAGCAGTTTTTCTGAAGGCAAGAGAGGAGGCCAACAAGAGGAAAACAAAAAGAAGAGGAAGAAGACAGGTAACAAGATGAGGAAGGAGACAGGAGACAAGATGAGGAAGGAGAAAGGAGACAAGATGAGAAAGGAAACAGGAGACAAGAGGAGGAAGGAGACAAGATGAGAAAGGAAACAGGAGACAAGAGGAGGAAGGAGACAGGAGACAAGAGGAGAAAGGAAACAGGAGACAAGAGGAGAAAGGAAACAGGAGACAAGAAGAGGAAGGAGACAGGAGACAAACAAAAAACATGCAGATATTTCATCTTTGCAAACTTTTCAATAACTGTATAATCGTTTAAATAATCTGCATTACTTTCTGTTGCAGTGTGACAGTGGGATCTCTTTTTCAGCAGACTCATGCCCCCACTGTCCCACAGATTGACAACATTTTTGTTAGTACAGATAGAAGAGAAGACAGGAGCGCTGTGAGGAAGAGAGAGAGAGAGAAAAAGGAGAAAAGAGAGAGGACAGAGGAAGAAAGACATAAGTGAGGCACAACAGGAAAATCATCAGGTATGAGTGTTTGTGATTAGGTTATAAAACTATTTTGACCTGGAGGTAAATGCTTTTGTATCAACATAAGTAAGCGAGTTTTACTATTGACAATGTTATGAAATGTCTAAAAAGTACTTCTGGGTGACAGTAATGTTGGGAGAGGCCGGGTGGGGTGGGGGTGGGGGGCCCTAAGCACATTGTGCCCAGGGGCCCCTGCAATGATAATCCAGCCCTGCTCGCTGCTGAACTTCAGGAAAGTCAACTTTTTGATTGAAAGAGCAAATTTGGGTGTTTAAACTCAAATCAAGATGAAATTCTTCGACAGGATTTTTGTGTCATAGAGGATATTTTGTTTACTGAAAACTTTTTAAAATGACACCATCAAATTCACGTTTTAATTGCTCCAGTATTTTGTTTTATGGTCTTGTTTTATGTTCTCTTGATATCAGATGTCGGCTTGGTAACTCACCAAGTCGGGATGGGGTTTGTTGTAAACACTGCTGTCACGCTGGTATTCTTATTGATGGCCGCATCATAAAACATTCACATGGTGTGATTTTACTGCTGTCCAGCATGCAAATCAACATTTGTGAGAGAAACGAATCCAAAAAACGAAAACATCACTCAAAATCTTTGGAAGGCCTGCAACAAGATTCTTGTGCAGAGCCAAAATCTAACCGTTTAACTTTTTCTGCTTTCCAAAAATACAAAACAAGCAATCAGCATCATGAAAAGTGTCGTAAAAATGAGCGAAGGACCCCGATGTAGGCTCACAGGCAGGCAGGTGATGAATTCTGGAAAATCTGAAGCCAAAACTCTGCTACAATAGCAATCTGACAGGAAAACCAAGTACGGTGAAGAAAAGGACAAGTGAAAACAGGACCAGTTGTGCAGAAAAAAGAACAGAGAGATGTAACAAGAAACATAACCAACAACCCAACTGAAACACAAAGCCATGATAAACTAAACAAACTCAGAAACCATCGACCACAGCAGCCTAGAATGGGTCAGGAAGTCGTTTCACCAGAACAAAACACACTATTTCTCCTCTTCTGTCTGCAGTTGGAGAACTTCATACAGAAGAGTTTAAGAAGGGATGTCACCAGCATTCAGACGCACGCCGTTCACAACCAAACTGCCACCATGCTGCAGATCGGAACGAACCTCCTCTCGCAGACGGCAGAGCAGACGCGTAAACTCAACGTGGTGGAAGCCAAGGTAACAAGTCTCTGATCTGGTCTTCTATCAGTGCAGCCTCCTGGGTAACCTCAAATGTTGTCTCCCTGCCAGGTCCTGAACCAAACCTCTAGGATAGAGATCCAGCTTCTGGAGAATTCTCTGTCCACCAACAAACTGGAAAAGGAGCTCCTAGTGCAAACCAGTGAGATCAGTCAGCTGAGAGACAAGAACAGGTTTGTGTCCTCTGCTGCAGTCTCTGATCATAAAAGCTGTAAATCACCTTTAAAAAAGTCACTTTTAGTTTGAAAAGATGCTGATGACAGAAGCAACGCTTGTTGCTGCTGTAGAGGTTGAGCTGGAGAGTGACATATTGGTGTTAAAGTTGTGATGATTTGAATCTAGTGGGTCCAATCCAATTGAGTCTTTTGCAGCAACGCAAAACAGTAACTCTGAAGACGGAGAACAAATACAAGGCTGGCTCAGAAGACTTTTGACGTTTTAATTCTGTAAAACAAAAGAAAATTCAAATCATTCTTGATTTTCTCATTCTTCAGTAATTATTAAACACAAAAGTATGATTCATGGTGATTACTTGTAGCCACCGAGTCTCTTTCATGTTATCAATATCTTCAGTTATCTGTCTAAAGGGCTCAAAACCACATCAAAAGTGTCTCCAAGTTAAAATGATGCTGATACACACACACTCACACACACACACACACACACACACAGAGAGACTCACAAAATATCAGCTCAACAGTCACAGCATTGTCTGACTTATCAGTGGGATTATTTGAAACATCTGTCAGCTCAGACTGTAAGAAACATGACCAGCTGTTGCTGTGAGACGCGTCGATGTTTGGAATCACAATATTTTTACAACTTTTCATTTTGAGGTGAATTTGGACGCCGCAGCGGGTTTAGAAACCTGCAGAGTGATGATGGAGTGTGTTGTGTTTACAGGAAACTATTTAATACAATCTGGGACTGTGTGTGTGTGTGTGTGTGTGTGTGTGTGTGTGTGTGTGTGTGTGTGTGTGTGTGTGTGTGTGTGTGTGTGTGTGTGTGTGTGTGTGTGTGTGTGTGTGTGTGTGTGTGTATGTGCGAGCATGTGTGTGTGTGGTAAATATCAACTTTTATTCTTTTGCACCTTGATCCACAGAAATTCTAGATTCCTATTGGTCAGCTACAGCTAGTTTACTTCTGAACAGCTGCTCGGTTTACATGAATGCTGCTTCTTTTGATCAGCATCATCTTTCCTTGCTTGGTTCTCTGAAAACACAGAAAAAAAGGGTTGTTCTTCCCTTGCTTTGCTAATGTTAATGCTAATGTTAATTACTATAGCCATCCTCGGACCAGCAAGACAAAATACACAGAACCAACGCACAGAACGTGTTTATAGAGGAACATCATCTTAGTTTTTTGGTGTGCATTTGTTGAAATTTCTCACTTTTCTACCACAGGTAATACATTTGTTTAACTCCTTGACTACTAGTCTGCTGTGTTTGTGTTTGATGCTATTCTAAGCGGCATCAGGTTTAACTTAAAAATCCATTCTTGACATCAACAATGTTGAAAACCAATCCAAATCATTTTAAAATCTTACCTTTGTGTTGATGGAAAAACTCAAATCAGCGAGTCCCCTGATTGGTAGGGAATAGAAACTTGAACATTTGACTAATGAAGGATAAATGTGCTGCCACACTTTGTGAGAAAGGGCAGTGATGCTTGTTTGAATGTTAATTGAAGGACATGTTTTTCTACTCAGACAATAATCTGCCGTTGTGTAAACATGTTTGTCCACAAACCAAATGATGATGGAATGCCGTGAGCTTTGTGTGGTCTCAGTTAGGGTTCAAGATTCTACAAGCTCAGTCAGAAGAACTAAAATCTCTGCAGGACATTCAGCATAAAAGTGCACACACACACACACACACACACACACACACACACACACACACACACACATGTATGCATGCATATATAAATTCTTGCATAAGTTCACAAGCTTGTGACTTGAAACTCAAACACATCTTTACATGCGCGCACACACACACACACACACACACACACACACACACACACACACACGCGCGCGCGCACACACACACACACACAGCTCCCAGACCGCAGCGCCCCAACAATCAGTGGCTCCCCATCCGTCTACATCAGAGAGAAAATTGTTCTCGTGTTCATGAGCAGGTCAGCACGTTGAAGCAGTCACAGCCAGGAGCTGATGAACGGATTCAGCTCTGTTAATGTGGCCAACGTCTCACTAAAAGGCATGAATGAGCCACATTTCACCCACACTTCAGCAGAAACTGGACTTCTGTTTGGTTTAAATTAAAATGGTTGAACGTTTCATTTTACTTTCTTAGACTTGACTTATGAGCTGCATGTGTAGATTTTACTGAGTTAAGTGGAAATGTCGGGACTTCCTAATGCATCTGAAGTGGTTTTATGGGATTCATGCTTGCAAAAAGATGGTAACATTTCTTATTTTGAAGGTGAAAATGTTGTGCCTCCTTACCTTTTTGCCTCCACTTACTTATTTTCTAAACTGCTTTTTTCTGAGTAGAGTCTCAGGGAATCACTGGGTGAGAGGCGAGACCTCTGGACAGGTCCTTCAGCGTTGCCATGGAGAGCACTAACGTTACTGTGACCCGCAGATGGTTCAGCTGGCTAAAAAGTCAAGAACTGTCAAACTGGAGGCCTGTGAAATATCGCTTATTTAGAACCTAAACAAAATGTGCTTCCCCCTAGTGGCGGGCTGCAGTATGACCTTTAAGCCCTGCCCACTCTCTATTAAGGACAGACTCAATGAACTTCTGTAATGTGTGTATTTCTTACATTGATGCTTTATATTAAAAAAATTACTTTTGAAACTTCTTTAATTGTGATTACCTGTTTAACATTTATCTTTGGATGTTTGAAACCAACAACATGATGTAAGTTGGTGAGACTTCAGAACCACATCCAGAGTGCAAAATAAGACATGGCGGAGCCTTTAAATAAAAATGTTTTAGCTTAACTTTTGAAAAACTGAAATGAAGAGAAAAACTTGGCTTGGCTGCAACTTGGCTGAAAGTTCTCATCAGATTGAGCTGACTGCTGCTTTTTAATAATATCAACTTTAAATCCTAAAATGACTTTCGACTTTAAAATGGTACTTTAAGGGTTAGGGTTTGGGTTAAACGGTAACTTTACACCAACAACACGTTCCACTTTCTCTTGCTGCTCCTTCATCAGGTTTCCTTCATTTGGCTTGAATGTTGTTTTAACTGCAGCCCAGGTCTATTTTCAACAGCTGTGCTGCTGGTTCAGCTGCAGAGATAACAAGAGCTTGAGTTATTCATCTTTATTTAGCTTGTTAATGACAGGGAGTAATTCAGGAGTTAGAACATCAGTCTGCTATAAACAGATTTAGTGTGTTAACAGTTTGGGTTTTCAAGCATTTAATGGTATTTGTCTAATTTTACAGGAAACACATCCTCCTTCCTTTCTTTGTGATTTAGAGTTTTATGTTTATTTTTGGGTGTAAAATGACATGTTTAATGTCAAACTATTAAAAATCTGCAGTTATGGACTGATTATTAGGCTTTTACTCAATGATTAAAAAATACAATGAACAAACTTTTAAAACAACTCCATTTACCTCTCAGACAATACTTCCTAAACTGAATTTTAGGGAACGATGAACTCTAAGGAGTGTAAAAAACTTGCAGGCTTAACCCTCTCAGGCTCAAAATAAGTTGTGATAAAAGGACAAAACACCAAGCCCTTCAGGGGGACTTCTGAGTTAAAAAATGCTCATAAAATACGTAAGTGGAGTAACCAGGTAGGTAGGTTTTAACATTGATAATCTGCAAAACTTGCCTCCAGAGGGTTAAATGAATCAGTAGGAAGTGATATGAATAGTGTTAAGTGAGTTTTTATTCTGTTTCTTTCAGTTATCTGGAGAGCAAAGTTCAGATGTTGGAGTCTCAGCAGAAAGGAGAGCTGGAGGACATGAGAGTGGAGAAGAACAGGCTACAGGTACAGCTACTAACCGTCACATCTGTGTGTTATTAGATCAGTGATGGGAGGCTGTTTGGACAGCTGTCTGAGTATGTTTTAAAATTAATCTTGTCAGGACTGACGGTCAGGTTTGGTGCTCAACAATTTCACTAAAGGTTTTGACATATTTTTATCTCTATAAGCTCAGGTTATTGGTGCACGTGAGAAACACAGATGAGAACTCGTATCTGCTAAAGACTCTACAACCTTAAAGAACTTTATTCATGCTCCAAAATATGAATAAAAACTGACCATGTATTAAATAAACTGCTGAGAGAAAATGCATACCGCATGCAAAGAAAAAGGGTCAAAGGGAGTTCCTTCATGTAAAGAACAATGTGTGCAGATGGTTAGATAAAGAGATGCAGCAGCAGGGATTAAAGATGAGCGAACCTTTTCTCTCAGTCTGTGGTCAGGACTCAGATGGTGGCCATCGAGTCTCTGGAGAGGCAGCTGAAGGTCGCCACCAGCAACAACACCGCTCTGCAGAAGCAGCAGGCTCAGCTGATGGAGTCAGTTCACACACTCATCAACATGGTGGCCACGACTACAGGTATACACACCTAAACACAGAGCTGATACTAGAGATGCTTAATATTGGCTTTTTACCAATATCTAATATACCAATAAAGTTAAAGTCCCATTAGATTTGACATACTGGTGAAGTTACATCTCCACATTTGACCCACCCCCATTTGGAGTGGTGAGCTGCAGCTTTGGTTATGCTCGGGAACAATTTGGTGGTTTAACACCCAAAAACAGCCAGGGGAAGCATAAGCTCCCATTTTTCTTTAAGGCCTTTGGTACGACCCGACCTAATTTGAACCCTGATATCCCAGTCCCTTGGTGGACTCTACCACTAGGCCACTGGGAAGGTATTGCTCTAAATTGACTGACTGGATATTGCTGACTCTTTATTTCTGATGTCGATATAAACCGATAGCAACATTTGCTGTGTCCCCCGTCATAAAAAAGACAAAACATTTATGAAGCTCTTCAGATAAGAGAAGCAAGCCTTGGGTGAAGATTGTTGTTTTATGTTTTAGTGGTTTGTTAGCTGGCTAGCTACACATAGCTATGTGACAGCAAACGTTCGCGAAACAGGGCAAATTTCTACTTCACAAGTTGTGCCAAATAAACTAAAATATCTCAAAAACTGAACCTCAAATCTGTCATATTTTGACATTTGAGAGAGAAGAGAAGTAGCTGAGGAGTTTGATGCATAATAAGAATAGGTGTAAAAGTTGTCTCATGAAAAGACAGAAAATCTGTTCCGATATTTCCCGATTTTACATTTTAAAGCCGATATTAATGTTAGACATTCCTTGTTAGTACTTTATATTCCTACAGCTTATTGTGTGTTTGTTAACAGGGTCGCCTCCTCGGAGCCACATGTGGAAGGACTGTGCAGATGCTTATAAGGATGGTCACTCTGTCAGTGGTGTGTATCACATCTACATCGGGAACAGGACTGAACCTGTGCAGGTAAAAAAATAAATGACTAACCAATTAGTTGTTTTCAAGCTATTCAAGCTCCAATCAGACGTGTTTTTCCATTTCCTCCCAGCCCTGCTGTCCATTCAAATCCATCTTTGTCTTCCTTTGGTTTCTATTCTGATTCTTCTACTTTTGTTACTTCTTAAGTTTTATTATTGTCTGCAGCCAAACGGTGAAAACGCTGTTGTCTGAATGTTTATTAGCAAAATATCTCATAGACCACTGGCTTTAATGGAGCTCTGATAAAATTATCATCGTAAATACAACTACATCAGACGCTTACCCTGATTTATGAGGACATCACAGATAATGCATAAAAACCAAATCTGGCTGCAACTCTTTAGAAGGTTTAGAGCTAAACTTTGATTTGGTATTCTCTTTTGTCACTAACTGGGTTGAAAACAACCCAGTGTGTTTTAGTGTGTACAAACTGATAGTTATTCATGACACACATGAAAGGATCCTGCTAGATCTTGCAGCACTTCTAGTGCCCGCAGCATTGTCATCAACATTTGACCAAAGTGGACTCTCAACCGATGTGGATTTAAATCTCTGATATTAAGCAAGATTTGTTTTTGGATGTTTAAATATATTTTGTTATGTCGGTTTTTGCACATAAACATCTCATTCTGTGTCTTTATTGTCTGTCCCACTGGTCTGTCCGCCCCCTGAAGGTGTACTGTGACATGGAGACGAGCGGTGGAGGCTGGACAGTCTTCCAGCGGCGTTTTAACGGCAGTGTGGATTTCCAGAGGAGCTGGAGAGAATACAAACTGGTCAGCACACAGAACGAAGAACCAAATAATAATAAAGTTTAAAATAATGAGCGTTGAGTTGAATCTACTCTTGGCCCAAACCCGCTTACTATTTTTGCCTCCTTCAGGGATTTGGAGACGTGCTGGGAGAGCATTGGCTGGGTAATGAAGTTTTATACCTGCTGACCAATCAAGGCCAGTACTCTCTGAGGGTGGAGCTTCAAGACTGGGAGGGAACCTCTGCATTCTCCCAGTATGACCGGTTTACTCTGACCAGTGAGAGGCAGCAGTACAGGTAACACCACACGCTCTAAAGGCAGAGATCAGATAAGTGTGTCCTCGTGCTGCATCAGGATTAATCAGGCCATCCCATGCCTTACACAGCTCATGTATGACAACTTCTGTTCAGACATGAAGAGAAAAAGTTCCCCTCCATGTAGACAAGATAATTGTTAAGGTGTCATCATTGGTCTCCATTAGAATCAAGAATTTACAGCTGTGGTCCATCTGTGGTGCTGTCAGGCTTCACCAACACCACGAGGGTGGAGCACATTCCACCACTTCTTAAATTACTGCACTGGCTCCCCGAGTGTCAAAAGGTCCCATTAAAGCCCCGTCACCCGTCTGAAGAGCCCTGAATGGCCTCGGGACTAAATACATGTCTGATTTACTCTTAGATTACAAAAACATCCCGACTCCTCAGATTGTCTGGAACAGGTCTACAAAGTGCTGACAAGATCAGTACGAAATAATGTGGAGCCACTTTAGTTTTATCCTCCCACCTGAGAAATAAAACCTGCCAGCACATTTCAGTCAGGGTTTAAATTATCTGAATAATCTGGTTTAGTCATGATTTTATAGAGCTTTTCAGAAGACGTCTTTATAAATAAATGGTGCTGCTGTCAATGTGAACTTGTCAGGCCATGCCTTGCTTGTACGTGACCAGAGTTGTTTATCCCTCTGGTCACTTTTCACTGTCCTGTTGCAGAAAAAAACTGGAGTTCCTCAAGTGTTATGTCATCTGATGGATCAGAGGCTTCCAAGCTATCTCTACAGAGCTGGATATACATTTTAAAATGCACCAAAAACGCACAAACTGTGCTGTAACCATCACCGGGATTAAAAGGCTTAATGGTGGACTTGCTCCAGTAGATGCAGTTGATCATCTTGTCTCATGTCCCTCAGGTTGTATCTGAGGGGTCACAGTGGTACGGCAGGAAGGCAAAGTAGCCTGATAACACACGGGGCTGGCTTCAGCACCAGAGATCATGACAACGACAACTGTGACCACTGCAAGTGTGCGCTGATGCTCACTGGAGGTATGCCTTTTATTTTGCTTTCTTTTCAGGACCAGCAAACTCAAAAAGAAATGTGGATTTTAAACTCATTCACTGCCAGCCGTTTCCTGATCGCTAACGGCCTTCACTGCCAGCGTTACTCACCGTTTTTACTGTTTTTTTAAGAGTCACAGAACGTTGCGCGCTAGCATGATGTCGATGCCAAAACAACCAAAACAAAGAGGAGACTCACCTCTTACATCAGGAAGAATCTGTGTGTTTCGAGCGTTATCCGTTCTTTCATAATCCGTTGTTGAATTGTGATCGGCAGATGCTTTTCTGGTTCGCACCTCACTTTTTTTACAGGAACGGCCCAAAACGATCTCCTAATACATGGATGGTCTGCTTCCTGATCATGTGACGTGTGACATATGCGGATGAAGATCGGCTTCAGGGCTGAGATGTTTGTTCTCTCAGCGCGGGGCTCGTTCCAATGCTCAAACAGTAAAAAAACGCAAATGACGACCTTAGTCGTCATTGGCAGTGAACGGTTGGATCTAAAATAACGACTTTAGACGTCAATGGCAGTGAATGAGGATGAGGATAGGACACTGCCCTGAGTTTGGGAGTGGTTCTCTACCTAAAACAGAGCAGTTTTGGTGTTTGTTTATGATTGGTGGTGGGCGGGAACAGAAGAAAACTGGACTTTTCCTGTTTTCCTTAGAGCCATTTCATCTCTCATGTAAGAAGCTTCTTTGTTTCTAAAACTTGGGTCGGGAGTAGAAGGCTAACAATGTGTGGTCTGAAACAAACACGGTAATAGAGCAAAAGGAGTTGCTGGTGAGACCACTGGTGTTACTATTACTAGACCTGAAATGGATGGATGGATGGATGGATGGATGGATAAACGAATGGATGCATGAGGTATAAAGAAGGTTTAAAAACAACAACAATAATATTTTTGCTTATTAAGAAAATAAATGTTGGTATTTTCTGTCAAACATCTGTCTCTGTCACCTTTTTGTGCTCTTTTATGTTGAACCGATGCCAACCCTAACATCTCCATGATTCTCCTCAGCCATGGGTTTGTAATCGCAGATTAACTTAATCACTTCGACAAAAAAAATATAAAAGCCTGGAGATCTCAAAGAAAAAAGCTTGGATGCTTGGGATCATTTGTCAGTGAGTCATTTAAAATCACAGCAATTTAAGTTAAAGTGAGAAGGAACGACAGAGACGGAGTGACAGGAAAACGATAACTCCTTCAGTTTTCCCAAGAGGCAGAAAAAAGTCAAGCCTAGCGAAAAAAACTGTGGTTGAGATTTGGAAATAATGAGCTTCAATTAAACAACAATTTCTGTTTAGAAATGTCAGCGAGACTTTCTGACATGTGTCACAAAGCAAAGCCTCTCTCTGGATCTCTTAAGTCCATCTTTGACCTGATTCTATAGGTCACGATTCTCCAGTGTTTACATGGGTTTATAATTGTTTGCAGAGTCAAAAGAAATATTAAAACAGGTTTTTTAGAATGTATAAACAGGCTCCAGATGTCGTTGATAAAGCATGCAGCAATGATAAAACTCTACAGTAACGAATAAAAAAAACAGGTTTTAGATGAAAATGGTATTTCTATGGTAGATATTGGGATAACTTTATTACTGAATTTTAACGCAGAGTTTTTGAACAGCAAAAAAGGAAGTCAAAGGCATTTTATTTAATTCCAATGAGATTTATTAGAGATTCCCATTGGCTGTTTATGTTTTGTAACAATACTCTTTCCTTGGTTGTTTTAATGGTTGACTTCGCTGAAAAAAACATATATAAATGATGTTTCCTGATTCTAATGGGTCACTCTGAGTTTTTATGCAGGCTGAACATGAAAATAGTCTCCTACACCTATCTCCTGCATTAGTTTCTGATAGAAAACAGACAGTTTCGTTTGCGGCTTCAAACTTCCTCAGAGCTGACGCTTGGCTGTCACTTCCTACTCCGTTTATCATCGGGCAGCGGAGGACGTTGTCGCCCTCTGCTGCCTGCTCTCCCCTCTCCGATGATGCAGTCCCATGCATGATCCAATGTGTAGACCCCATCGTCTCTGTTCATAGTCCCACATCCACATCATGCAAATTCTGCAATAAAACGTACATTAGGAGAAACCGGAAGCCAACTCAACACACAAACAATAGAACATAGAAAGGAGTGCGAGGGAGAAACAAGTGGAAGACACACAAGAGCAGCGAAACAAGAAGCAGAAAGCACAATAAAGAAGTCAGCCGTAACGGATCACTGCACAAGAGAAAACCATATAATGGACTGGGACAACACAAGTATCATAAACACCAAACAACAGAAATACAAAAGATGAATAAAAGAAGCTATAGAGATGAGGAGACGTGGATGTGGGACCATGAACAGGGACGATGGGGTTTACTCATTGGACCGCACATGGGACTACATCATCGGAGAGGGGAGAGTGGGCAGCAGAGGGTGACAACGTCCTCTGCTGCCCGATGATAAACGGAGTAGGAAGTGACGCCACCATCAGCGTCAGCTCTGAGGATGTTTGCAGCCGCGAACGAAACTGTCAGCAAGGTAAAGAGAAACTTTTCCTGAGTTTTTAAAAAGAACCAAAAATGGAATTAGGAATCAGACACAGCAAGAACGTACCAAAGGTGAAAATGGTCTCCTACACCTATCTCCTGCATTAGCTTCCGGTAGAAAATAGAAGCTCTAGGATTAGAAAGGCCTGACAGATCTACGTCACACTGTCACCTAACAATCATGACTCACCCATCTTGACATACGACGGGGAAGGCTGTTGTTTGTTTAGCATCCAGGAAAGAGCAGAGAATATCTCTGCTAATAGAAGCTAAACGTTAGCATTAACAACTCCACCACACAGCAGAACTCCTCCAGACTTGTGTTATTTGTGGAGATAAAACATCAACGTTGTAGAGCAAACTGTCAGTGGTAAAGTCATGCTGCTGTCAGCCAATCAAAGAAGAGATATCCAAATATCGGGAAATAAGCCTCCAATCCCTCCATCTGAAGCTCAGCTGTGATGTGGCTCACTTCTAGTTCCTGAAACAGGTGCACCAGAGCTTTATTTCCACAGAGTATGACTTACAAGACATTCATTCCTACTAGAGGCCGCTGCAGATGTATTAAACATATGTGTAAAGTGGATCTTTAAGGGTTTATCTTTAACCCCATCAAGCCTTTTATTAATTTACTTCAGAATGAAACACTGATCTAGACCAGAGAGTCTGCAGCCTGCAGCTCTGATTAGTCGTAACTTTGGCTGAAAAGGATTTTTAAAAAAACTATTAAATTTTTAATTTCTTTTTTGTCGTTTTGTGGAACATTTGCATTGAATTTACTCAACACGGCAATACAAGTTTCACACTTTTTCTTAATTTTAAAATCTAATCATGAAAAAATATGTTTTTTTTTAATATAATCCCATTTCTCTTGTAGAGAAAATTCTGACCATAATCCCAGAATTCTCACGTTATTCTCAGAATTCTGAGGTGAAAAAAAGAGAACTTTTCCCAGCGACCCTAGTCCTATCTGTAGATATTCCTATAAAACAATAAAAGCTCCCGTAACAGCTGCAGCTCTAAACAAGTTTCATTTCTGGAGGACTGAGAGGGAAAACAGGGCTTTGGTTTGCAGACTGAAGATTCCTCAATAACAGGATGTTGATTAAAGCAAAATAAAAGCAGCTGAGTCATCAAAATAAACTTGATGCAGACAGAAAACAATAAAACGAGGATTGTGAAGCGAGAACGGCCTCAACCTCAACCCGTTGATTTAGTGAACCACTTTCTGCGTGTTCTTTCACCTCAGTATGACTAATTATGGGACATGACGGTGAGCTAGCCAGTGACTCGTAGCCAGTTGAAGGTTTTGAAAACCTCATAACAACAATGACATCATTCTGTGTAACCAATAAGATGTTGCGTGGTGTTCATCTCATGCAACCATGACCTTGATTTACACACACGTAAAGTAGTGAACAACCTAAGTTGACAATAACAAACTTTTTTGTATTTTATAGGATAATCGTGTCATTTGGGACCTTAAAATGTTTTTAGTTTCAGATTTAAGTGTTTGTGGCTCAGGTGGGAGGATGGAACGACCGGAATGGATTTAAGAAATTCTTCTTCTTTATCTTTTTTATATTGTAACTGAAGTAGTTTTAAATAGTTTGTAATAAAATTTTACAAAAAAATGAAAAATAGTAATTGAATTAGATGGGCTGCACAGTGAAACAGCGGTTATCACTGTTAGAAGGTCCTGGGTTCGAATCCCAGCTTAGGGTCTTTCTGTATGGAGTTTGCATGTTCTCCCTGTGCATGCAAGGGTTGTCTCCAGGTATTCCTGCTTCAGCTTCCTACCACAGTCCAAAAACAAGACTGTCAGGTTAATTGGTCTGTCTAAATTCTCCTGTGTGTGAGCGTTTGTTTGTCCTATGGGTCTCTGTCCAGGGTGTGTCCCACCTGTTTGCCCAGAGACAGTTGGAGACAGGCACCAGCCTCCCGTGACCCTGCATGGAAAAGCGGGTATAGAAATTAGATGGATGGATTTAATTGGACTGAACAGCAAATTTTCTCAGTAAGGAGCTGCTGTCTAACTCCAGCCATCATTGGAGGTTGAGGACACCTTGGGCAGGTCTCCTGTCCATCATAGGGACACCAAAAGACCAACAACCCTTCACACAGTTCGAATAATTTCTGACATGACTGCTCTTGGTCTGTGGGGGGAAACCAGGGTGCCTGCATGAGGAGAACATTCAAACTCTGCAGATGGGAATCGAACCTTCAACCTTAACAGTGCTACCACATTATGTGAATATCTACAGATCTACACCTCAGTGGGTTCTGTCTGTGTTTGTGGTCTCCCTGCTCATGTAAAAGCTCCAACTAGCAGCCTAACAGGCTCAGTCCTCGTACCCCACTGGGTTTAACCGATGATGCTAATGGTGGCTAATGGAGCGTTGTAATTCCGGATCCACATTCCCAGGGTCTGTCTCCATCCTGCACTTGGCCAAAGTTAAACCCGAGGGCAGCACCGGCTTCATAAATGAGTCAATCACTAAAAACACTCATAAGGTTTGTCTTTTGTTTATAAAATTGTAGAACTGAGCCCGATTCCCTCCCCACCCTAAGCGTTTGTGTTCAGAAAGCCGAAGAACAAAACACTTCCATGCTGCCAAATATGAATTACTCAAAATTGCTGCTAATTGCTTTTGGTTTTAAGTGTTCATTTGACCAGGGTGGTCCTCGGTTAGAGGTTTGGAAAATTTTAATTTGCCTTGCTTTCTTTCTCTTTTCGGCTGCTCTGAATGATCTTTTGTTTCCCTCCATCCAGGTTGGTGGTTCGATGCCTGCGGTTTCTCAAACCTAAATGGGATCTACTACACAGTCGGCCACAACATCAGGAAGCTCAATGGCATTAAGTGGCACCACTTCAGAGGCCCCAGCTACTCCCTGCGCTCCACCTCCATGATGGTCCGGCCGTACGACTTCTAACAGCACCCATCCATCTCCGCGGAGGCTCGGCTTCTAACAACAATCCTTCAGAGCTCATTCTCATCCAAAAACAACTTCCTGATCATCTCCAAACTATAACAACACCGCTCAGGTTCAGCCACACGATGGTTCAACTCCGAGACACCCTCTGGATCCATCATGGTGAAGCCCTCACCTCAGTCATAACATTAAGGAAGGAGCTCCAACTGATCCACCTTCAGAGACCAGAATAGCTGTCTGGAATATTCCAGCTCTGGAAAATCCCACCAGTTTTTCCATCTGAGATTAAAATCTAGGGATCACAGTAACTCCTATTTAGGTTGTTTTTGTAGGGTAGGAGTGACGTTGCTCTTGTTTGTACTCATCCAAACGACAAGAAGATGGAAATAAATGTGACATTTAGAGATCGAAAGCCAAGCCAAATCAGTTGCTTCACTTTGATAAGAATGCCTGCTTGTTGTTTAGATCTTTTAACTTGGAGTCAATCAGGAACCTTCACAGCTGCTGCATCAGAAAAGGGGAGGCAGATGTGTGTGTTTACTGGTCTGTTATGATATCAGAGCAGGTCTTCTGTTAGGAATTATGAGCTCCATTAACATACGCAAAACACTTCCTGAGAGCCTTTTCCTGAAGGATTCCAGTGACAGAAAGTTGTTGTTTTTTTCTAAATCAAGAGGTCTGATGTTTAGAAGGAAGGAACCTTTGAAATAATCCTCTGGATTTTACAGAAAAACTAGCGATGAGACCAGGATGTGAAGTTTAGAGATGATGCAAAAGTTCTTTGATGAAGAAAATGAGAATAGTTTGTTAAAAGATGGTAGAATGTGAAATATCTGCAGGCTTTGCTTTGGTCAAAACTCAAAAAACGTTTACAGGACATAAACGTGTTCATAACATAAACATTGGAATAATTAGCCTTTACGTTTGCAGTGGTCTGTAGTAGGAATGAACGCCTTGTAAGACGTACTCTAGAGGCATAAAACACCGATGCACCATTTCCTGGAACTATAGTGTGCCACATCAGAGCTGAGCTTCAGACGGCAGGATTTGGAGTCTTGCTTCCTGATATTTGGACATCTCATCTCTGAAAACAGCATTGTTGATGTTTTATCTCCACAAGCCTGGAGGAGTTCTGCTGTGTGGTGGAGTTGCTAATGCTAACAGTTAGCTTCTACTAGCTGAGGCGTTCTCTGCTATTTCCTGGAAGCTAAACCAACAACAGCCTTCCCCATCATCAGTCCAGATGGGTGAGTCCATGAATGTTGAGAGACAGTGTGACGTAGATCTGTCAGAATTTTCTAATCCTAGAGTTTTACCATCTGTTTTCTATCAAGCTAATGCAGGAGATAGGTGTAGGAGACTATTTTCATGTTCAGCCTGCATGAAACACTCAGAGTGACTCATTAGAATCAGAAATGAGATTATAAAAAATGTCTTTAGTGCTCCACACCTTTAAAAACATCAGTACGACCTGCTTTGTATGAAAATAAAAAGCTACAAGAAAGAGAGAGAAGGAGTTACAGCAACTAAACAGCTTCAGAGGTGGTGAAAACTTCTGCCTCAGGGTTTTCAAATGTGACCTTTTCTACATTTTCTGCTCTTGAGCCAGTCTGTAGATGGGTAACTGTGTAAATGCAATGGCACCAAAGACAAAACAGAGGCTGGCATTGTGCATAATGGAGGTTAAACACACTTTAATGCATTAGGAACAAAGAAGAGGAAGCAGATCAACGTTGTGACGAGTTGAAGCCGCATGGAATCAATCTGATTTCATGTGAGAACATGAGGAGCCGCAGCTGGTGATCTTGAGCAGAAGGAAGTGATTCCACCCTGATGGGCTCCTTCTGGGCTCTGGAGATGGAGCCAAAACCATCTTCTCGTGCAGCAAGCTGGGCTGCATCTGAGCTGCCAGAGCAGAAGACGGACAAATATTTCTGCATCTAAAGCTCTGATTACCAGAGGACGATGCCAGGAGAGGAAACATTTCAAAGACTCGCTGATAACAAAAACTTGTAAATGACTAAAGAACATGAGACTCTGTAGCAGAGACACTGGGTGTTGTGGTTTCACTGTCACTGAAGAAATAAGAGCACGCGAACGCAATTCTTTTCTGTAAGTTTTGATGGATTGCATTTTTACATGGCAACACTTACTGCACCCTAATAGAAGGACGGAAACGATTCATCTGGAGGGAAACAAATAATTGGACATCCATAAAAAGCCAAATAAATCTTTTTGTTCTCTTGTTTCTGCTTTTCTGGACAAAGATGGAAGACAAAAAACATGCAGATGTTGTAATTTAAAGAAGTTCAGATTCAGAAATAAATGTTGCTTTGATTATTTTCCCAATTTGAACAATCTGGGATTTTCTTGTTTCTTGCTGGTCTCTGCATTTTGTTATTCCGGCCTAAAGCAGATCAACGCTCCGATGGCACTCGATCAAATAATTAATAAGTTACAGAACATATTTATTCTATTCAGTTCATCAGTTTCATAACTGGGTTTTTATTTATTTTTAACACTCGTTCGTGTGGCAAGAGTTTGGATTTATGATTAAAAGAAACGTTGTAAAGACGTTACTGTAGCTGCTTTCTGCTGAAGCTCACCTGGAAAATTCTTACGTCCGTTTATTTGAGTACTCATTTATGGCAGTCAGAAACACGAAGCCATCCTGGTCAGTAGAGACAGATTTAGAGTCATTATGAAACGCTAAATAAAACAAATCAAATATTTTCTGTTGGAAGAAGCCTGTCCCTCATCCTGAGTGTGCAGGATGCAGCAGGTGATGCTGAAGAGGAACGTCTCCCTCCAGTAGAACCAGGATGGGCGGCCATGTTTGGAAGGACAGGAGAGGGAATGGCTATTGTTGGGAAAATAGATGAGAAGTACAAAGCTGCAAGTTTTCCCTTTTCAGGAATTATGCCGATTTGTCAGAAATCCATTAAAGTGATTGTTGTGTACTGTGATATAATGTGGGCTATAGGGCTTGGGATTGTGTCGTCATCACCTACGCAGCCGCCATGTTGGCGGCCTCAGAGTCCTTACTTGTCGCTTGTTACTACCGACAACAACGTGCTCATTCTTGCGGCTTCATTTAATCACTTATTCATTTGATCGGTTATATTATGCAGCCATGGTAAATTGTTGCTGTGTGGTGGAAAATAGATGAAAAACGGGTGGAAAACGGAAAAAAAACTGCAAATTTTTTCTGCTTGGAGGCATAACCACACACATTGTTTCTTTCCTCCAACTGCAACATGCACACACACACAGCTACACACACATACCGGTAGGCGGGCGCACCAACACACAACACAACTTCTCCTTCTCTTCATCTTCTATGGGATGAAGATTTTGACCGTTTTACTAGAAAACCCAGGAAAGGAAACGTTTACCTCTCATCCGGACGTTTACATCCGCTCACATCACAAACAAGAAAGCCGAAAATGTCCGTTATGCAGAACTGCGACAGCAACAAGTTGTCATCAGTGCTCTACTTGGGTCTTTCATGTGGATCCTAACCGTTTATAATGCTGATTATTTCCACATACCGGTCCCTGGCTTCCCTGTTTAACTTACTCTTGATGTAAGCCATCAACATGTCTGCCACATCCCAGAATGCAAAGCAAAATTACATGTGATCCCAAGATTTATGCGTCTCTTTTTTTTTGCTAAGCCCACCCCCCGTTCCATAGAGCTTCGTGCAATATGAGCTGAGCACCGGTCAGCAACAACCAATAGCGTTACAGACTACCGCTTACAAACAGACATTAATCACAGAGCGTGCTTGAGCGTTTAAGGCGTACCTCGTTTGATGCAGAGTTGCTGACCTTTCTCATGGACAAGTAAATATTGTAAGTATAAATATATGAAAACACAACATGTGCATAATGATTGTAAAACAAGTGTTTTAACTCTGTTTTGTCAGCTAGAGGAGCGTGTTCATCAATGAGAGGCGTGGCTTTCGGCCATAAATACAGAAGTGAAAACAACATCTTGGTGTGATACGCTTGTCAGCCACTAGATGGTACCATCAGATTAAAAAAATATATCTGGACATCACCTTTAAGGACAAAAAAACCCCAAAATAAATAAATAAATGTCTTTAAGACCTGTTGTATTTTCACTCAGAAGCCCATCGAAGCCTCTGAGGAGGATGTGATTGCATCACAGCAGTGCTGAAAGATAAAACCACGCGTGTAGACCTAGCTCCTCCGTCTTGGGGCATGAGAACATCGCTGTCAGGGTTCTTATTTATGATCTGCTGATGTGCAGCAACACATCTGTAAGCAGCGTCTCACTGAACAACATATGAAAAGAAAAATGTTGATGTGATCGTTCATGTCTCATTAAAGCAAATATCACTGCATTCCTAATATTCCCTCCTGAGTCTTTAACAGTGTTCCAAGCTGCTTCCTTCTGTTTGCCAGCATGTTTCCCAGGAAAAGTGAGGAAGACTTTGTATGACCCCCTCCTGATATTCTCTTATTCCTCAAATGATTTTTAAATGATTAATTTTTTACAGAAAAAAAAAATTTTTTCATCACAAATAACATTTTGATGATTTGAATTCAGTTTACTTTTCTGAAGTGGCCAAAACAAAATCAGGCCCTAAGATTTTTAAAGTCATGATAACCTTCAATAATTAATAAAATATTATTGTTTACTATTTAGTTTTAAAACACACAATAGTAAAAAATTAAAACTGTCTGTTGGTCCTTTAACTGTTTATTTTTATTTTTTAATTATGTCCCATTCAACGCGATTGTAGGAACTTTACTGCCCTCGTGTGGCCACAATCTGGTATTGCAGTATTTTTTTAATGAGTCGTGGATGTCGGCTCCTGCAGCTCATCCAGCTCTTGTGAGCACTTACATTTATTCTAGAGGGTGGGATGAAGATGAACCAGGTAACGAGAAGACACAGTTTTAGTCATTTTGGGTTAATTAGGGTGGCATAAAGGCCCCAGTGTGCTGTGATGTGTAGAATGAATTATATCAGAGAGGGAAAAGTGATAAAAAGGAATATTTCATATTTTGGAGTTAGAATAGATGCATTTCTGCTATATATAAAAATCACAATGTTTATTAGCTACAAGCAAAGCATATAAAAATAAACTGATACATCTGTGGGGAATCAGTTTATTTTCACGTTTTGTGTTCCATATTTTGAGTTAGAAAGGTTTGGTTGGTCAGTTCATATGTTTGTTTCAGGCTTAAATACAGTCAGCATTTGTGTCAGATTAGCCTGGCCTGCCAGACTCACCCTCGGTTTAATTCTACACAGAAGACAAATGGGGCTGGCTGGCTAGTGCTGGATTGCTTTAACATTAATTCATTATCTACGGAAATTTCTAGAGCGTACTGTGAAAAGGAGTAATTTGGAACGTGTTTCTTCCACTTTCATTTGCACTTTTATTACTCAGTTATTTGTTTTAACTTATTTTCTATTTTGTTCTTGAAACACACACATTTCCACCCAAATTACTTATTTTGATTATCTGATTAGATAAGTCTAACAAATGAAATCAGCTGATTTTCCTAAGAGCCAAACATACAAAACAAAGCAGTTCACGAGTGTTCATCTTTTGGTTGAGATTTTACAGATAAAAACCTTTTTCACTACTGGAAGGTTGACATTATGTTGAGGGTGCTGAACCAAAAATGCTCTGTAACAAATGCTGGAATTCCCTTAGTACCACAGCATTTGACAGTATAAGACCATTAGAGTGAGTTTCCCTGTTGCTAACACTAAAACGCCATATTGTTTTATTTTAAAACTATTTATGCCCCCTCCCTCCTAGTTTTTGTCTTTAATATTTTATTCACAAGATTAAAACAACTAAGATTAGAATAAGGAGGCTAAATTTTTCTCTTTTAAATGGTTAACCAGAACCAATGTGTAGTTTCAATTTCTCACCACTGGAGGGCGTTATCCCTCCACATTCATAAGAAGTCAATTAAAAGCACCTTGTGGCGCCGCTGTATTTAGCTGTTTACCTATTTGTCACCATACAACCTTTTAACAATGTTTTAAAAAACTAATTGTGTTTTAACTAATAAATGAGAGTAAAAGACTGTAAGAGAGACTTTTTGCGTTGCTAACTTCCGTGACATTTTATTTTGAAAGACATATGCTTTTTAGGCCATTGAATGGGTCAGTGATGTTTTAAATTGTCTATGTACAGTGCAACTACTGGCAGATGGAAAGTGCTATCTAAATAAAGATGATGATGATGATGATGATGATGATGATGACGTGTTATTAAATATTGTACCTTTATCAATTTATTAAACTCCTCCTCCATCATATTTTATTCTGACCTACTGTTGTTATTCAGATGGACATATTTTTATTTACATTTTTAATTATTTGTTTAAAGGGTTAAAGAATTGATGAAAATCTGAATTATTCATTTTGAATGGTTGATTCTTTAAAGGAAATTGGTTTGTTTCTGTTTATGCGGTTCTAAAATCTCAAATATCTTGCTGAAAGTAAAAATGTTCACCTTCGTCTTTTTGTGACATCGACTGTTCACAGCCTTAGTTTTTTTTTAATTATTTTTTATTTTTATTTTTTGCTTGCTGATTTTTGTCCCTCTGTGGCACCAGTAGAAACACTTCCGGTGAACGCAGCTGGCGTGTTAGCGCTTTTTGTGAAGGTCGTCTTCTCACTTGTAAGTTTATTGAGTAGTTTGCACAATTAAAGTTTGTGCGTTCAGTTGTGTTTTTAAGCGCCGCATTTTAATTCAAACCTGACGTATTTACTTTTAAGTTTGACGTATTTGTCCCCACTCTTCTTTCCTAGCGTTAGCATTTAGCCAACTCTGACCTAGCTTACATTAACAACGACCGCTGTTTTTCAGTGCTGATCAAAATCTGGTCCTATCTGTTGACTGTATAGTTGTGTTCACCAGTGTGAGGGGTATTTAATGTCAGATGCTGCGCTAGCCAGCAGTAATGTGACCCTGCGTCAGGAAGTTGATTTATTATTTTGATTCCTGACATGACTAGGCCGTTAAGTCTTTATTTGGTGTTTTGTGCTTAAAATAACGTTGTCGGTTTATAAAGGAAGACACTCGAAACCAGCCAGTTTCAGGTATGCGAGTGTTGAGCTGACTTGGCAAATGTGCGTTATGGCGATTTGCGTGTCGTTTAGATACGTAAATCTTACGTTTTTAAGATCAATCAACTGAATGTACACCTGATGGATTATTATTATTACGGTCAGGTGTGTGTTGTTTTTGTGGCTAGTTGCATTTTTAAATAGCCATTAAAACAAAATGTTGACCTGAAAGTGATAGTCGTCAATAATTATACAATTCAAAAGTAATTATTCTATAGGATTTTCTTTGTGTATCTATTTTTCAAAGTTACAGACCCCATCACATACAAACTGCATCTTTACACTGATAGATGCAATCAAAACATTCAGTTAGAAACATGGATATCGATTATAGTCGTGTGTAGAATAAAGGAGAAATAAGGAGTCTTTAATAGTGAAGGAGACGTTTATTGAGTGTCAAATATTCACAAGTAAAATGTTCTCTACAAGGTGATAAGCCATGTCTCTGCCGAAGCCAGTGATGAGAGGGTTGTTGGCCAAGCGCCTGAGGTTTCATCTGCCCATCGCATTCTCTCTCGCCATCGTAGCTGCAGTTGCATTCAAGGTGAGAGTTTTGCCCTTCTAGACCTTCAGCCCTGACTTTAATACGTGCTCACAGTAATCTTTTAGGAGGAAGTGCTGTGCATTAACCAGTGGAGCTTTCATGCTGCTCAGGAAACCAAAATATTCTTTATGATGTTGTGATGTATTTATATTTTAACTCTGAAAAAATCCACACATTGTAAAAGAGTGACTATGACATTGTAAGAAAAACAGATTTGTTGCCTCATTAAACCTTATTCTGAATGGAGCAACTGTGTATTCATGCTAAACTCCACTGAATGTTGTCACTTATCATTGCATCTATGCAGTATTTGCTGATTGGCAAAACATCTCCAAGAGTGCATAACCCTTAAGGCATGAATCTTTCAGGTAGATCATATATCTGTGAGAGAGTCGTGTCAAATAAATTGGGTTTAAACTGTAGGTTTATGTTTCAGATCAGACACCAACATGAATGTTTTAACAGTAGGAGCATTGAATTGTACTTTTTTTTTCTGTAGCACTTGTCTAGCCCCAAAGTGACACTCGTGAGATGTCAGGTTCTATTTTTTAGTTTTGGTAGAATAAAAATAAAGATTACTGATTTGTTTCCAACAGTTTGGAGTAACGGAGCCCAGGAAGAAGGCCTATGCTGACTTCTACAAGAATTACGACTCGGTCAAAGAGTTCAATGCTATGAGGGAGGCGGGCATCTTTGAGAGTGTGAGGCCCTCTGTGAAGTGAAGCTGCTGTGAGTTTTTCTATATGCCATCATAAGATTTATTACAATTTCTGTGTCACATAAACATGTTTTACATAATTCTGAAATCAGCGTTTTTGTCTAACTTTAACATTTCTCCTCCTGTAGCTCTGCTACCCTGTCTTTCATTCCTGTCTTGAAGATGGTTCCCATTTGATGTTTGCTAATCAGATGTGAACACCGTTCTGCTGTTTGTTCAACTGAAAAATAAAACATTCTATAAATGACTCCTTTTATCTCTGTTGTTAAGTTTCACTTCTCACAACATTTAACAATCAGCAGTCAGTTATTCTTTAGCTACGATGTTTTGGGTTACATCTTATGAAATCCATAGGACAGAAGAATGTTGCATCAAGAGTATTATAACAGATGGAAAATAGTAATGTTTTATTGAACAAGTCACTTGGTTATTAAATGTTGAAAATTAGACATGTTTGTATGTGTTAAGTCTTCCCAGTTGTCTTTATGGTACGTTAAGCAAAATGGTAAAACTAGGACACCTGTTGGGTTTGAATGTCCGTGAATTTGGCGTCTTCTGCTGGTGGTTCCGCGAACTGCACCCTTTGTTTGCGCCGCCTTCCTGCCCGCCTCTCGCTTCACTTCCTGGTTCTCAGGTGGATGTCACAGCGGCTGCCAAACGCTCTGTCAAACAAGTCCGAAGTTGTCCAGACACGGAGGAACGATGTACCTAAAGGCCAGGATACCGCAGCCTGGCGAAGCTTCGTTGGTGTGCGGGTTCTGTTACGCAGAATGATGAACTTACGTAGAGTTTTCTACCAAGCAGCAGCGGGATCATCAGCCGGGACGTTTCAGTGAGCGGGTTAGCCGCGGCTAGTCCGATAGCCGCTAGCTTTTGGGCTGTCTGCTACTCCTAGCATTTTCTTGACTTTGACCAGCTCGGTTCAAGTTTGACTCAGAACCTTATTCCGAAGCGTCCGAGCGAACTGAGGAGGACGGGATGGAGAAAGTACAGATGAGGCACAACCCTCGCAGGTAAAACCGCTAATGTCAAACCACCATGTAGGTTTTTATTTAATGTTAGCCTGATTATAGTGACGTTACTGTAGGGTTTAAAAATGACCAAATATCCGCCCATGGCTGTTAAGTATGTTGTGAGTAAGACGTGTTACACAACTGTGAATTATTACAAACTGAATTCAAAAGTAAAACTATGAACAGGAAATGCTTAGGTCCTGGTGCCACTTCAAACTAATTTAAAGTAGATTAAAAAGTAAACATGTAGGTGTTTTCATGGAAGCTGTTAAGTTTTCAGTAATTTTCTCCAGTGGATCTTTTAATGAGCTAATTCCCCTCTAGCCATCCGTAAAATCAGCTCAAACTGAACAATAATCTTTTGCTGCAAAGCGTCAGATAATCTTTAAGTATTAAATTAAGTCACTCGTGCATACCTGGATTATCCTGAACAATCGCGTTGATCTTGGTGTAAATCATTGGCTTTTAGCGATCAAAGACCCAGTGGTCTAAATTAATGCCTAAACTTTGGTTTAGCTGCCTTAATCCAGGGTGGATTAGTAAAAATAGTTCAGATTAGACCGGTTTATATATTCAGTGTTTTAGAGAGTGACTGATCTGGCTCGTGCATGTGGGCAGAACAAGAACATGCGTAGCCTAGCAGCTGCTTCCTTGTCTCACTTTGTTGTGTGCTATTGGTCTGGAGAATATTCTCTACCTTGAGCAGCAGCCATGCTCACATTCATAGATTTTTTTATGTTGTCTCATTTATATGACTTTGGTAGTCCTTTGGTGAATTTGGGATTAACTGATGCAGATGAGAGATGCCTGGAGGCAGCAGGTGTGAGACGAGTGAAAGGTTAATGACTTTATTCTCATGATCAACACAAGTTCAAGATGTTGCTCACCTGGTGACCCCCCCCCCCCCCCCCCCGAATAAACAAACAAGCAAATAAAATATTTACTAGGCAAATCAGCCTCGTCATTTTAATCTCCACTTTACTTCAATATTAAATCCTTCGTCATGGGAACTTTTTACTTAACGTTTAACTTCTGAATTATGTCAGATGAGCAGTGATGCTCTCTGCCTGGACCTTTGTTATTTAGCCGTGTTTGCTGGTGTGACCTGTATGTGTTTGTTTTCAGGGCCTATCAAGAATAACTGATGCATTTTTACTTCACAGATGTTACTAACAGGTGGTTCTCTCTGTCATCTGTTCTTATGTGTAATGGTTAGTAAAGGATGTGAGGCTTTAAACCTTTTCTGTGACTTCAGCGCTGAACTGGAACAGGAACTAGGTTTTAGCTGAGTGTTTGTGTTGGACAGCAGGAACCGATGAGTTCCTATTCTGTCCGTTTATCAGGATGAAACCCGTAAAACACGCTGCTCTCTTCTTACCATGGACGTTCAGTCTGCTGCTCTTTCCTCATCCATAAAGAGCGGTTTAAGGCTGATTTAATTTAATGCAACTGATGAAGCTTTGTGTTTACAGATACATTAGTACATTTGGAAAGTTGTGTGGCCATTTTCTCTGATACGTGTGGCTCCGTTTTTAACATTTAATATAAAAAATTAGGGGTGGGCACACACAACAGCACCATCATCTGCTCTTCTATAGAGAGCACCATCATCTGCTCTTCTATAGAGAGTTGGCAGATTATTTAAAATCATAAGTAGATTCAAAACTTTATTTTTTCAAGCCTCCGAAGAGTTGAGAGCTGCTGCAGCTCTGGCACAGTCCCCGGCTCTGGTCATGGTTCAGGCATGAATGAAAAAGTCAGTTCAGGAAAAACATTTTAAATGTGCTGTTTGGTCTTAGTTTCCACTACTATTGTTCACTAGGTTCATTCAGAGGATTATCATCAAGTAGAAGGCCACTCAATTTTATAAATATGCTCCCATCTTTGAAAAAGTACAGTCACACAAGCTTAAACACACACACACACACACACACGCTCAGATAAAATCTGATGTTTCCTCCGAACCAGCTTGTCGCTGTCTTCATCAAAAGTTGTTTAGATCTATTTTTATCAGTGAACTATTTTTATTCTCCTGACTCCAAAAGCAGATGTTTTATAGACGTAACCTATCTCTGATTTCTGAATTACACATACCATACCATACCAATTTTATTTATATAGCACATTTAAACACGGCATGAGAGCCGACCAAAGTGCTGAACAAAACACACAATAAAAACAATCAAAAATAAAAACTAAATCCATTAAAATCAAGTAATCCAACCCTAAAAGGAAAGGTAGAAAGGGAATAAGTTAGACAGAATTAAAAGCCAGAGAATAAAAGTGAGTTTTTAAACGAGACTTAAAAAGGGAAAGAGAGGAAGAGAGTCTGATCGGGAGGGGCAAGTGGTTCCAGAGCTTCGGTGCACAAACTGAAAAGGCGCGCTCCCCGCGGGACTTACAGCGAGAGCTAGGGACATGTAGGAGGTGTTGGTCAGCTGATCGGAGGGATCTTGTAGGGACATATGGGTGAATGAGCTCAGACAAGTAGCCAGGTGCTAAGTTATTTAGGGATTTAAACACAAAAACCAGGATCTTAAACTCTATCCGGAGATGGATGGGGAGCCAATGAAGATTTGCTAAAACCGGTGTGATGTGTTCCCGCTGCCTGGTGCCAGTCAAGAAGCGAGCTGCTGCGTTCTGCACTAGCTGAAGTCGAGCGAGAGTGGAGGAGGAGATACCGTATAGCACTGAGTTAGAGTAGTCGAGACGGGAAGTAATAAATGCATGGACAACTGAATGAAGATGATGCCTTTTTAAAATGGGCTTAACTTTAGAGAGACGCCTCAGGTGGTAATAACAGGTCTTAACTACCTGGTTGACATGAATGTCCATTTTTAGTTTAGCGTCCATCACAACCCCTAAGTTTGTGACACGGTTTTTCAACCCACTTGTGATAAATGGAAGGGTCAGTTGGGGACTTTGAGAAGTACCAGGGCTGAAAATGATGGCCTCTGTCTTAGCGTCGTTCAACAAAAGAAAGTTTTCTGACAGCCAGCTCTTCACATCATTACAGCATTCAACAAGGGGCAGTAAGGAGTCATTAGGCTTCACAGAGGCATATAATTGGCAATCGTCTGCATAAAAATGGTAATCAATGTGGTGTTTTTTAAAAATGTCACCCAGGGGCAAAATATATAAATTAAATAAAAGGGGTCCAAGAATAGAGCCCTGAGGAACACCACAAGTCAAAGCCGCAGAGGGGGAGGCAGCACTACCCATCATAACATTAAAGGTGCGGTCACAGAAGTAGGACCTAAACCAGTCTAAGGCAGTCCCCTGGATGCCGACCAGCTGGTTCAGCCGAGTCAGCAGAATAGCATGATCAACCGTATCGAAAGCAGCCGACAGATCCAATAAAACCAGCAATACATTAGAACCAGAGTCAAGGGTTAATAAAATGTCATTAAAAACACGAAGATGAGCTGACTCGGTGCTATGGAGGGATCGGAAGCCTGACTGGAAGGGATCCATTAAACCATGATCATCTAGATGAGACATAATTTGGTTAAAAACAGCACGCTCTAACAGTTTTGATAAAAATGGAAGCTTGGAGATCGGGCGAAAATTACTCATAACAGAGGTGTCAAGGCCAGGCTTCTTCAGAACGGGTTGAACTACTGCATGTTTAAAAGCACGGGGTACAACACCAGTGGATAGGCTGTTGTTAATAATGCTCAGCATAAGGGGGCCAGTGACAGAATATGTCTCTTTAAGGAGGTGTGGAGGAACAGGGTCAACCGGAGAACCTGACGGCTTCAAGGCAGACAGGAGGTTCTCAAGAGAGGACAAAGAAAGCAAGTCAAAGTTATCCAGAGACCGAAGCCGAATGGGTTCAGGACGACTAGTGACATAGGGAGAACTAATCTGAGCCCGGATACTAGCAATTTTTCCAAGAAAAAATTTCAAAAATTGAGTGCATTGAGCATCCGAGGTAGTAAGAGAGTGGTGGTCACTGGCTGAAAGAACAGCATTGAGGGTCTGATACAGGACACGCTGGTTGCCAAAGGATGCAGTAATAATATTTGAAAAGAATTTATTACGGGCATCTTTAACTACTTTCTGGTAACGAGCCCAGGTATCTATCATTATTTGGTATGAAATCTGAAGCTTATCCTTTTTCCATCTACGCTCGGCTCTTCTGCACTCACGCCTGACAGATCTGGTAGTTGCACTGATCCAGGGATCCGACCGAACTTTAGAGCGTCTAGTTCTCATAGGGGCTATCTGATCTGTCTAGATTGTGTTTATTGTTTCATCCTGTTGTTACTAATCTAGAATGTTGGTAAAAAAAGCAACAATCTGAACCATGGCTCCGCCCACCTGAGCTTGGGACATTTAGCTTTTCTTATTTTTGCTAAAATAAAACCGAAAACTTGAACGATGAGCTACTCCACAGATAATGGATTCATACCCCTTATTTACCTTAGATGTTACATAATTGATGGGATTCATAATAATAAAATAAATCACGGAATAAATGTTGATTTACTTTGACACAAAACTATCAGTAGCTATGAGTAACTTCTTATTGTTTTTAGAGACTTTTGACCCAGAGAAAGTGAAAAAAACTTTCTTCTTTTAGAGAGGAAACCTGCTTTTATCTGTTCTGGCCTTACTCATCGGTCCTTTCCCACTAACAGCTCTTTATCTGTCGTTCTTCATGTCAGACAGCTGAAGAAGTTGAGTGAGGACAGTCTCACCAAGCAGCCAGAGGAGGTCTTTGATGTCCTGGAGAAGCTGGGTGAAGGGTGAGTCATTAAATCAGACGATAACAGTCCTGGTGGGTGACACCACCGGACGTCTGGGCAGGAAACAACACTTTCTTCTCCCTACTTTTCAATTTGGCTCATTATGACTCCTTTAACGTCGGCCTTTATTACTGCTGCATTTATTTCTGTCTCCCTCTCAACCATGAAGCTCCTCCCCTCTGTTGTCTTTCAGCATAAACAGCCTCCTCATTTCCTGTTTCTCAGTGCTCTTCCTGTTCTCAGCTGCTGTTCGTGCATGTGCATCACCACAGCTCTGTCATAATAAAAGCATCTTAAATGTCCCCAATTTATCATCTGATAACGTGTGTGACTCCAGACTGTAAAACGCTCCCGTGTCTGCAGGTCGTACGGTTCTGTGTTCAAGGCCAATTACAAAGAAACAGGAGAGATTGTGGCCATCAAGCAGGTTCCTGTTGAGTCTGATCTTCAAGAGATTATTAAGGAAATCTCTATCATGCAGCAATGTAACAGGTATTTATGTCTGAGATGGTGTTTATCTGTCTCTGTTTTTGTTTAACCTCCTGAGACCCAAATTTGTCTTTGGTGTGATTTATAAAAGAAAAATCAATTCTAGCGGTTAGAGGTGCTGAAAAAAATCGATTCGAGTCTGAATCGGGATTCTTATTTATAAAGATTCAGAATAGATTCACAAAGGTTCAGAATCGATTCCAAGAACTCAAATATTTGGCATGTTACAGGTTTGAGATGAACTTTTTTGATCTTTGTTAGGAGAGTCAGTACTCCGATTACTTTTGTGGTCCCATAAATTGAGATGGTTTATGTCTGAATCTGTTGATAAGAGTGAATGTAATTTTTTCCATACTCAGAAATTTGAGATATTGTCATGTTTATTTTCTAAGTTGATAAATGAGTACTCGAGTTGGGATTACTCATGTAACTTGTTTCTGCACATACTTGAAAAGTATTTGACCGTATTACTTTCAAAGCTACTGTTAGGTAACTACAGATCTGTTATATTTTACAAGGAAAGCAAAAATAAATGTTGCCTTTTGGTCAAAAGATTGCTTCTGTTTACAATTTTAGAATCACTTTAGTTTACATTGTAAATTTGCATTTTTGGAGCATGACCAGTTTAAAGTCAGATAAAAATGTCCCATAGCTTTAACTAACTTGTACAACAAAGTAGTTAATCCTGGAGCTGACACTCTTTGTTAATACTGATTGTGAATTGATTTAAATCAAGAATCGATTTTGAATCGAATCAGCACCCCAAGAATCGGAATCGAATCAAACCGTGAGTTGTTCTAAGATTCACATCCCTACTAGCGATTACATATTAGTAACAAACGTGACTCATAAACGTGAACAAAATATTAAATAAGGAAGGCAAAAGTGGACAAGAAAAAGGTAATGCAGGATCCTGAGAAAGGCAGAATTGGTAGAAATAGCAGCATGAAAAGAAGGTAGTGATGAAGAATCAATAGAAGGTCCCACCAAAGCCTGAACAGGTGAGTGTAAAGGAGACCACTGAGTCCACTGATCTCAGGCTCAGGAGGAGAGAGCTCCAGAGTCTTTGGGCCACAGCAGGAGATGATCTGTCACCTTTGGTCTTTAGCCTGGTGCTGCACAACCAGTAGGCTTTGGTCACTGGACCTCAGGGACCTGCTGGGGGTGTAGGGACTGAGAAGATCACCAATGTATGATGGTGCTTGTCCATGTAAGGCCCTATAGACCAGAACCAGGATCTTGAAATGAACCCTGAAGTTGACTGGCAGCCAGTGAAGCTGGAGGAGAAGCGGGGTGATGTGGGTGTGTTTGGAGGACTTGGTCAGAAGCCGAGCACAGGCATTCTGAACCACCTGTAGCCGGTTCAGGGAGGTTCTGCTCAGACACGTGAAAAGAGAGTTACAGTAGTCTAAGCGTGAGGAGATGAAGGTGTGGATAACTGTCTCAAGTTCAGTGTGGGGCAGGATGGGACTCAGCTTAGCAATGTTCCTGAGATGGAAGAAGGAAGAGCGAACAAGAGAACTGACATGAGAATCCAGGGTGAGAGCTGGGTCAAAGGTCACACCAAGATTCCTGACAGGGTTTGGTGTGAGAAGCAAGCTGACCAAGAGAGTCTCTGACTTTGGGAACCAGCTTGTCTGGGGCACAGATGAGGATCTCTGCCCTCCTTTCATTTAGCTGTAGAAAGTTCCCACCATCCAGGTTTTGATAGTCTAAGCAGATGTGTAACAGCTGCAGCTTAGACATCTCATGGGGTTTAAAGGAGATGTACAGTTGGATGTCATCTGCATAACGATTGTAGGCGATTCCTTTAAAGGAGCTCAGGATGTGCTGAAGAGGAAGCAGATAGAGGAGAAAGAGCAGAGGCCCCAGCGCAGAACCTTGTGGGACATCATGGGTGAGGGAGTTGGTGGAGGACCTAAACTTGGAGACGGCCACAGAGAAGGATCCCTCAGATAGATAAGAGGAGAACCATTCCAGAGCAGTTCCTGATAGGCAAGTTTCTCTAAATAATAACAAAAAAAGATCTAATTTGAAGAGAACAAAGTTTTAAAGGGCAAGAATGGTCTCAGGAGGTTCAAAACAAAAATCTAAATGTTATCAAATACAGGCCAGTTACCAATGAATAAGATTATCAGTCAGTTATTTCAGGAGCTTGTATTTGGTAAACCTGTTGGAACATCATGAAACAAGTTTGTATAAATAAACAAACAAAATGATCCTTGTGATTAGACTCCTGTCTCTGTTCAGTCCTCATGTGGTCAGGTATTATGGCAGCTATTTCAAAAACAGCGACCTGTGGATCGTCATGGAATATTGTGGCGGAGGATCTGTGTCTGACATCATCCGAATACGTAACAAGACGGTAACTTAACACTCACACACACACTCACCTGCATGTGTTTGTGCAGCAGACTGTGTCAGGTGTCAAAGAGGGAAAGGCTGATGCTTTACCCATAATGCACGGGGAAGAATCAGCATGTAAATCTGACTTTCACCAGTTTGCTCAGCCATTTCTAATGTTTTGCTGTTGTTTTTGTATTTTATGGTTTAAATCCAGACTTGGCACTGATTTGTGACAATAACAAAGGTAGTTTTCACAATTTTAACATCCAAATAAACTTGGGATGCACCGAAAATTCAGCCACTGAAATTTTCGGCTTTCGGCCGAAACATCAAAACCACAGGAGACAACAGAGCCGAAACACCCATTTTGTTTCTTTCTTTCTCACTAAAAGTGAAATATGAACTGAAGCTGTTTTTGTTGTCTGTATGCACCAAGGTTGAGTGTTATAGGTTGTTGCTGTGGGTCACATCCCATAATAACCACATGTTTGTGTTTTGGCTTTATAGCTGACAGAGGAGGAGATCGCCACCGTCCTACAGTCGACCCTGAAGGGTTTGGAGTACCTCCACTTCATGAGGAAGATCCACAGAGACATCAAGGCAGGCAACATCCTGCTGAACACTGAAGGTCAAGCTAAACTGGCTGATTTTGGGGTTGCTGGACAGCTCACAGTAAGAAGAACCTCTGAGTTTAAACTCTGTGTTAAAATGCTATTTTTTAAAGGGAGAAAGTGGAATCTGTTGTCGCTTCTTACACTAATACAAATATAATGCATCTGACGTTAAAAAATCTTCTCTGGAGCTGAATTGAAAACGTTACCAGCTGCGTTTGTTCCCTTGGATTTTTTCTTGACCTTCTCAGGACACCATGGCAAAGAGAAACACCGTCATCGGCACACCATTCTGGATGGCTCCGGAGGTCATACAGGAAATTGGCTACAACTGCGTGGCTGATATCTGGTCCCTGGGAATAACCGGGATCGAGATGGCTGAAGGCAAGCCGCCTTACGCCGACATACACCCGATGAGGGTGAGGAAGGGGCAGTGGGTTTGTCTGAGCTCACACAAGTCAGTCGGTTAATGAAATGTTTTTGTTTCATTTGTTTCTAAAGGCGATCTTCATGATTCCCACCAACCCTCCTCCAACGTTTCGAAGCCCAGATCTGTGGTCGGCAAACTTTCAAGACTTTATCAGCCAATGTTTGGTGAAAAACCCAGAAAACAGAGCGACAGCCACTCAGTTGTTACAGGTAACAAATAAAAACTGGGAATAAGCAGTCGGTGTTGGGCTGGAAAACATTATTACACTTTCTGCTACCTATCTCTAACGGACATTTCTTTTGGTTACGACTGCATTTTAAAGGCATCAGACATTAGAAATTTCAGAGCCACTTTTGTTTTTTCCCACCTGCAGCATCCTTTTATCAAATCAGCAAAGCCCAACTCCATCCTGCGAGCTTTGATCCAGGACGCCATAGAGATAAAACTGAAAATACAAGAGGAGGCAGAACAACGAGAACAAGATGAAGAAGAGAATTCGGTACAGACATAAGAGTCTGATCCAATCTATAGAGAATAAATCAAATGTTTTACTTCCAGATTACAATCAGTCATTCAAGCTCAAGAGATAGGAGTGCTAACTCAGCTAAAATCTTCTCCCATCTTTGCGTCTGTCAGGATGAAGATGAGGTCGACCAGGGGACGATGGTTCGGGCACCAAGTGAGTCCGGAACGATCCGGGCTGCTGGTTCTTTAGCAGGTTCACTTAGCGGTACTATGATTGAACGTGCGGACACGGGAACCATGCAGTCACAGCTTGGCACCATGGTCATCAACTCTGACGATGAAGATGAGCAAGAGGCTGGTACTATGAAAAGTGAGTTCACCCATCCACATTCATCAGTGATTCATCGTCAGTGAACTTAAATAACTCTAGATACATTTAAACGTTTATGTCGCCCACCTGACAAAAACTGCAGAGAAAACTGAGTCAGTCAGTCAATCAATCAATCAAAGCTTTATTTATAAAGCGCCTTCCGCAACCCTGTCAGGAAGCCCAAAGCGCTGAACATGGTACAGTTGTAAGTAATTATACTGAATAAATCAACAATAAAAGAAATTCAAATTACAAAATACAAATTACAAAATACAAAATGGAAATTACAAAATAGATGAAACATTCCAGTAAAATACAAATGTGTGAAACACAATTGGATTGAGTGGATGGATTGAGAGTACCAATGTAAACTGTGGAATGGATTCAACATAATAGAGGGCCATAATTAAGCATGTTCTGGAAACGCCAAGCGGAGGAGGTGTGTTTTTAGGTGATTCTTAAAGACTGGCAGAGAAGGGGACAGCCTAACTGAGGGTGGCAACTGGTTCCAGAGTAACGGTGCTAGGACTGAGAAAGCCCGGTCCCCACGGGTACGACACCTAGACCGAGGGACAGCGAGCAGGCCTTGGTCAGAGGAGCGCAGAGCGCGTGATGGGGAATGTCTGTTCAGGAGTGTGGCCAGATAGGGGGGAGCCCCACCCTGGAAGAAATGATAAACAAAGACGAGTCAGGACGAGGAAGTGGTCAAAACACGGCTTTCGTTTCTGTTTTTAAGTTTAGAACATCTGAACTGTTTATGAGAATTATTTAGTAAAACGTTATGGAACAAAAGAGTTTTGAACAACAGATCCTAGATAACAACCTGGTTTAGCTTCAGAGCAGGAGTCTCAGGCTCGCGGCCCGTGGGCCAGTTGCGGCCCGCAGGACAATGATTTGTGGTCCCCTGCCTTAATATGAAAATGTAATATTAGTGCTGCCTACCGGTTTGATATGTTGGGCACTTTACAGTTTTGTGTGGGGAGCTGAATGAACAGACCAATCACGGTGAGGTGGGGGCGGGACATCGGCCACACTTGATGCTAGCAAACATTTCTCTGAATGAAAGTTACAGCAGTGTTGCCTTGGACTGGTCAGTGTTTTCTCACTGCCTGGCGGGCTGAGATTCGTCCCAGCACACTGCGTTCTCAAAACTTAAATAAATAAATAAATAAATAAAAACCTCTGAGGAAATAGAACCGCTTCATGTTGAGTGTACACGTCTTTTTTTTTTTCCGCAGTTTAAACAGTTTACCTGTCTAACCTACACGATCAGGAAGCAGAGCGAACCGTAAACTGTGGGAATGTGGCGTCTGAGTTTTCTAAGCAGTCTAAAAAAAATAAAGCAGCTAAAAACAGTCAGAAATCAGTTCAGTGTCACGGTGGGAAAATGGATTACATGAGCCAAGCGGATATTTTTTTTTACTAAAACACACATTATCAAGATAAACCAGCAAAGGTAAGACTGAATTCATGCTTCTGCCATAATGAGACGAGCTGTTTTTTGCTGCTTTGCTTGAAGCTCCGTGAGTTTTGCACATAGTACTTGTATTGTTTGAAAGATGAGAGTCAGTGCTTTAATTTAATGGTTGCTTTTGTGGATAGGTTCATTTAGCATTGTCATTACTGCATGTTTTTCTCTAAATGAATTTAGTGTCTTTTTGTGTTCTTTTCATTTAGCAGCTTTTATTGTTGGAATTGGGTGTTGTTGAGAAAATTATTAGATGAGCTTCTTCTCGTTAAGAAGATGTAACCTTGTTTTTGGAATGACTTTGTAACCGGAAGTGCATGCGGACCCGGGTTCATCTAAGTAGCACAGTATTGTTTCCGCTTTTTTCCTTTAACAACAGCACGGCGGGTAACAGTGAGACATTCAACGTGCGTCGGCCAAGCGCTCGCTAATAAAACACTGACGCCAAGTGGAGTTATATATTTTAGCACCAAACATGTCTTTTTCAAAGCCTGCAGTGAAGAGAAAGGTTGGTGATGATGAGCAGAGACAGTTTCAGGAAAAGTGGGAAATGCAATACTTTGCTGAGCACCGGGGCACCCCTATGTGTCTTATCTGCACAGAGAAAGTAGCGGTGAACAAGGAGTACAATTTGAAACATCATTACACAACTAAACATGCTGAGGAGTATGCAAAATACCTAGGAGATGAGAGAGCCAAACGGATTGCCAATCTTAAAACATCTGTTCTGAGGCGACAAGATTTCTTCAAGAAAGCAACCAAGGAGAGTAATGCAGCAGTTGAAGCTAGCTACATGGTTGGCGAGATGATTGCTAAAGCAGGAAAGCCATTCACTGATGGTGAATTTGTCAAAAAGTGCATATTACAGGCTGCAAATATAGTCTGTCCAGAAAAGAAAAATCAGTTTAGCAACATCAGCCTTTCTGCCAACACAGTAGCAGATCGTATTTCTGATCTGTCAAGTGACATTTATGACCAACTGTGTGAGAAAGCCAAATCTTTCAGCGTATACTCAGTCGCTCTTGATGAGACCACAGACATCACTGACACTGCCCAGCTCGCAATGTATGTCCGCGGTGTTGTTGACGATTTTGAAGTGTTGGAGGAGTTGCTCACAGTAACTCCAATGCATGGCCAGACCACCGCTCAGGAGTTATTTTGGCAGCTCTGTGATGCCATTGAGAATGTCAGTCTGCCATGGAAGAAGTTTGTTGGAATAACAACTGATGGAGCCCCATCAATGACAGGGAGGAAAAATGGACTGGTGGCACTTGTTAAAAAAAACTGGAAGAGGAGGGTGTGGAGGAGGCCATTGCTCTACACTGCATTTGAAAACGTGATGTCTGTCGTTGTGAAATGCATCAACCAAATCAGATCCAGGGGCTTAAAGCACCGACTGTTCCGTGCCTTTTTAGAAGGAATAGAGTCAGAATATGGGGATATGCTCTACTTTACCGAGGTACGTTGGCTCAGCAGGGGAAACGTACTGAAGAGATTTTTTGAGTTGAGAGCAGAGGTGAAAGCCTTCGTGGCTGTTCCTGTGCTAAGTGATCCCAAATGGCTCATGGACTTAGTTTTTCTTGTTAGTATCACACATGAGCTGAATTTACTGAACAAAAAGTTACAAGGCCTGGGGCAACTTGTCAGTTCTGCCTATGACAGCGTGAGAGCATTCTCCACAAAACTTGTGATATGGAAAGCCCAGCTCTCTCAGACAAACCTTTGCCATTTTTTCTGCCTGCAAGACACTCACGGATGTGGGCTCACCATTCAGTGCCGAGAAGAATGTTGGTGTCATTTTGAGGCTACATGAGGAATTTGATCACAGATTTGCTGACTTCAAGAATCACAGAGCCACTTTTCAAATTTTTGCTGATCCCTTCTCAGTTGATATGCAAGATGCTCCTCCTGTGCTTCAGTTGGAGCTTATTGAGCTGCAGTGCAGCTCTGAACTCAAAGCGAAGTTCAGGGAGGTGAATGGAAAAGCAGACAAGCTTGGACAGTTTCTCAGAGAGTTGACCCCTAGGTTCCCTGAACTTTCCCGGATGTTAAAGCAGATGATGTGCCTTTTTGCGAGCACATACTTGTGCGAAAAGCTCTTCTCCATCTTGAACTTCAACAAGTCCAAGTACAGGTCCAGACTTACTGATGACCTTCGAGCCCTACTGAGGGTCTCAACTTCTTCCTCCCTTAGGCCAATTGTCGCTCAGCTATGTAAGGAGGCGCTGCCAGGTCTCTAGCAGCAAGGATTAGGCAAGAGAAACTATGTTCAGAAGAACAGTTCATGTTCCTCTAATGTTCAGAAGAAGGTTAAAGAACTGTTAATACAGACATTTAAATCTGAATACAGCCAATATAGGTTTCTAAAGAAACCAAATAGTCGCTGAGAAATCAAATAATTTTATTTATTCATTACTGATTACTTTTCTTATTCATTACTAATTTGTTGCATATTTTTCCATCTTATTTAGTGTTAAATGAAAATAAATAGATTTGAGAAGATGGTTTTTTTTTTTTTACATTGCTTTTCTTGTGGAAAACCTAATGTGGCCCAGCCTCACCTAGAATCTGCCTTCAGCGGCCCTCAGCGAAATTGAGTTTGAGACCCCTTTAGAGCTAAGGGATTTCATCCACCAGGGGGCAGTGTGACCTTAGGCTTGTTGTCTGGTGCTCATCTTCACAGAACAATGACTTCTGGATTTCTGACTATTGTTGGGGTTGTTTTAATTGCAAAAGTGTTTTCAACATTTTTAACTCCGGCCTTCAGAACACGAGCTCTGCTGTACTCTACGTTTTTATACTTGTCATTAACACGAGGCTTGTTTTGTCTAAAGTGCTACACCAACAAAAATGTTTTATTCATGATCCTGAAGCTGTTTTGCGTTTCTGCAGTCAGAAACCTATAAATGAGTACATAAGTGGTTAAAACGGCCCGTTTCTGTTCTAAGCAGCAGAATGTTTGCCTTTAACAATTGATGATTGTATGCGCGTGAATGTATGATTTAACATAATTAAATCAAGACTTATTATGAGACCAAAAGAGTAGAGAGAAAGAAAAAGAAGAGCTTGACAAACACAACTCACCACTGTGGTCTCTCAGGTGTTGTATACGACAAGTTCTGGTTTGTTATTTAATGAGCATCGATCTGTTAAGTCTGCCGTGTGGGAGAAGAAAACTTTAGATCTGCTGTGTGCTTTTGGAAACGAGTCTCACTAAGAGTTGGACTCTGTTCATCTGCTCTCTGTGGGTGGGTTTTATATTTGTTTTATAAGCATAGAATTAACCCCAATGAGAATCGCTGAGTTTGAGTGTAAATCTGCCTGTACACCGTGTGATTGGAATGATGCACACTCCTGAGTGTCTGAAAAGATCCCAGATGAAAACAAAAGTTCTTGTGGAAGTTTATGATGTAATGCCACAACTCCTACACCGTTTCTGGAGAAGTTTCTGTTTGTCTGCATGTCTGTGAGCAGTCAAGGCATTATGGTGGAATTAACTATGAGCTGAGAAATGGATAAAGGTTTACTTTAA